ATATGGGGACTATCTCGGAAGCTTTGTGGCAAAACTGACCAAGTGAGTTGTTTAGAATGTCTTGTGTATGGGTCCGTCCAGGTGAAGATGAAAAAATCTTGGGAGCAGGGGTCTAGAGGGATAGAAAAATGGGTCTTTGAGATCTAGGACTGAGAAGTGGGATGCTGAGGCTGTATGGATTTGGAACTAAGGGATGGATAGGGACAATGGCTATGTTGATGAGGCGAAGGTCTTGGACAAGGCGGAAAGATCCGTTGGTTTTTTTAACAGCTAATATGGGGGTATTAAATGGGGAGTGAGTGGGTCTGAGGTAATTTTTGTTTAAGAGATCTTGAATGATGGGTTGGAGGCCTATGAGGGCTGAAGTGGTTAGGGGGTATTGGGCCTGACAGATATACTGAGAGGGGTCACGTAATTTGATAGAGGCAGGGGGACATAGGGCCATGGAGGGGCTTGTAATGTCCCAAACTTTGGGATTTACAGGGTGTATAAGGGCAGAACCGGAGCTTTCATTGGGTAGAGGGGGGTTGTCGGCTATGAGGGCCATCAGAAAGGGAGTACTGGGGGCTGTGGGAGTGGATATAGTTATGGAAACGTGGAGGAGGGAAAGGATGTCCCGTCCTAGTAAAGGGATGGGACACTGGGGCATAACTAGGAAGGAGTGGGAGAAAGGTATGGGACTGTCTAGGATTGTGCATAAAAGGGGGGGGGTTTTAATGGGAAAATCTGTTTACCTCCTACCCCGACTATAGGAGTAATGGCTGGCGTGGTAGGGCCCCGGTATTCTCGCAAGACTGAGAAGGTGGCTCCTGTATCTAGGAGGAAGGAGATGGGGCGACCGTCTACTGTTAAAGTAACCCTGGGCTCCTGTTTGGTGATGGAAATGGTCGGGCGAGAAGCCCCCGGGCCCCATCAATCTTCTTCTGCCAGCCCCACTACGGCGGGCTTAGGATGGGGGTTGTTCGTCCAGCCTCCCCTTCGGGTGGTTGGGCAATCAGACCCCCAGTGGCCCTTTTTGTGGCATCTGGGGCATGGGGTGGTAGGAGATCTGGGGGAGGGGCACGCCCTTGACCAATGTCCCTCTTTTCTGCACTTGAAACAAGCTCTTGGGGGGGCTTGTTTGTAGAGGGGCGCCCAGGTTGTGGTTTTATCAGCTGGGCCAACATCTGGAAATTGGCCTGATCAGCCTTTTGTTTACGGCATTCTTTCTCCTCCTCCCGCTTATGGAAGACTTTAAAGGCCACTGTTAGGATCTCAGTCTGTGGGGTAGCGGGGCCCTGTTCTAACTTTTTGAGTTTAGCTTTAATGTCGGGGTAGCCTTGAGCTAGGAAGTATGTCATAAGGACATGTCTTCCTTCAGGTGTTTCTGGGTCCAGGCTGGTATACTGTAATAGGGCTTGAGTGAGTCTGTCTAAGAACTCGGAGGGGATTTCATCTCTCTTTTGAATTATGTCTTGGAGCTTTTGAAAATTGACTACTTTACAAGCTGCCCTTTTTCAGACCTGCTATTAAGCAGGAGGCAAAAATATCTCAAGAGCGGAGACTCATGGCGGTGTTATAATCCCAGTGTGGGTCTTGTTCGGGGACAGCAGTGGGGCCAGGGGGATAGGTGGGGTCAGTCCTGTGGGTTTCAGTAGCCTGCATTTGGGCGAAGTCCTAAACTCGTCTACGCTCTTCAGGGAGGAGAGTATTGGCCAGGAGCATGAAAATGTCATGATGTGTGAGGCTGTAAGACTGGAGGGTCCATTGAAACTCCCTGATGTATGTCATGGGATCAGTGGAAAAGGAACTTAGGCGTTTCTCTAGTTGGGCTAAATCTCTTAAGGAGAAAGGGACGTGAACGCGCACGATGCCTTCGGATCCTGCTACCTCCCGGAGGGGGGCGATAATTTTGGGAGGCTCTCGGGACTGAGTCTGAGGGGGACTGAAGGGTTCTGGCTCAGTCTGTGGGGGAGTGACGCGGTCTAGCCGTGCCTAGTCGAGCAGGTCCTGAAGTGCAGAAGGGGGGCAAAGAAAATAAAGAAAGATAGAATCGGACCCACATGTCGCCAGCTAGCAGCCCAGCTGCTTGCCTCTGCTGCTTTAGTTGGGCTTGAACTCATGACTCTGAGGTTAAGAGTCCCATGCTCTACTGAGCTACAGCAGGGCTCCAGTTAATTGCTTATGGAATGCGTTGTTTTCTATTCCTGCCACATCGGCAAGTGGGGGAAGGGCATAGCTAGAAGCAGGGGCGGTGTTTCTACACATCTTCAAGGTCTCCCTATTTTCAGAGTGAGGAGTCTTGGCAAGATATGTTTTTGTGGACAGATAACTTCTAAGGACTGCACCGGTTGTTCTCTAGCTTGTGCTTTCCCATGCTGCGTTCAGACATGGGGGGAGGTGCTTTCCCATTCTCTCTACAAACATGTGAGAAGACAAAGGCGGTCCCTAACAGGGGAGAAACAGGTGATGAGGGCAAAGACGGAGGAGGCTCCTGGGACCTAGTTAAAGGGGGGCTGAAAGGCTCAGGCTTAATCTGCAGGGAATGAAGGTGGAGGAGGTGAGATGGGGGAGGAGATGGTTGGGGAGGAAGGGAGAAGGGCTGTTGTAGGAGAAGAAGGGGAAGGGAGTGAACAGGAGGCTTCTGCGGGGGCGGCGGCTTGCAGGCTAGGAGAACTTGGGAGGGGGCGGGGAGAGGAGGAGGCGGAAAGCTTCGATATAGGGAATCTCCTTCCATTTTTTCAGGCGCTGGCAGTAGTTAAAAAGATCGCGAGTGATGTTAGGATCAAGAGTTCCCCCTGCGGGCCATTGCTTGTTATTGTCTAGGGGGGTATGTCGGCCAATCTTGGGAGCAATATTTACGGAGAAGTTTTGGTTTTATATCAGGCGTCAGGGAGAGGGTAGCCAGATGCTTAAGCAGGCATTCAAGAGGTGAACTTTCAGGGAGGGATGAGGAGGCTCCCATGGCTAAAGGACAGAGAAGGAGACAAACAGGGGAAGACGAACGGAGATCCTCGGACTGGAAGCAGACCGCAAGGCGACAAAGGGCGTCCCCGATGATCCTTGGTGGTCTGCGGAAACTCATATACGAGTTGGAATTTCTTAGGAAGTGTGGGTCGTCACCCAGACTTCCCTAAGAAGGCAGAGTGCCGGAGTCCCGAGGTACCTAGCGCTAGGCATTTTCAGCAGACAGAACAGATTTCGGCGGACGGAACAGAAGGAGGAGGGGGCGGGGAAAGGGAGCGTTCTCATCCGCAAAGGAGTCACCTCGTTTATGGCTGTTGGAGGGGGGCCTGAGAGTCTGCTGCAGCCGTGAGGGCCTGAGGCGAGGAGAGTTCCCTCCTCATCCCCGAGCGTCAGGGCCTTGCCGGACGATCACGGTCAATGGCGCTGCAATAGCTCGGGGAAGAGTGGCCCACTCCAGGGGGAAAACTTACCTAAAGGCCAGAGAGGAGTGGTGAGTGTGATGAGCCAGCGCCGGAAAAAGAGGACGAGGGCAAGCTGCTGCTGGTGTCGGGGGGAAGACGGGCCCAGTTGGGGTGTCCCGTCTCCCGGGTTTCGGCACCAATGAAAGGAAAGGAGCGACACACAGCAGCAATTCACCGGAGAATTCCGCTTTATTAGGGAAAGGTGCTGGGTTATATAGGAAGGGGTATGAATTGATTGAGGTGTCACTTCTACGGGGCTGGTGGCTGTTGGCTAGGTGCTGGGATTGGGAGGGGGGCGAGAGGTGATTGGGCTTCAGGTGGCACCGGCGGGAACTGAAGTCCCCGAAGAGAAGCTGGAAGTTTGCCATTTTACTGGTGGGGGCCCTTCAACCTACCTGTAAATAGATACGTATACATGTACTTACATGTGTGATTACCTGAGCAGGTTAAAAAAAAAGTGTAGATAGAACCTAGCTTGGGTGACCTGAGTGGAGGGGTGAGCCAAGAAAAACAAAAACCAAAAAAGAAGTACACATAGAAAACCCAATGGTATGGACTGATGTCACATTAGCATTAAAGTAAAACTAAATAGACAATTTAAAAATTAAAGATGTTGAAGATAAAAAATAAGAGACTTCCTCTGAACAAGCCTGTAAATTGATTCTCTTCCCTAGAATAACTAAAGTTTGCTTGATACTTACCAGAGAAAAAAAATTTTTTGGTTATTCTCCATCAAAACAGAGCCTGTTGCACTCAGCCACTCCTGGTATGTGGGGGGTGGCACTCCTCCAAGTGCCCCCCTAACACAGCGTCACTCAGTGCTCTACTGGGCACTCGCACCAGATGGCCCAGCTTGGCGTTCAGGGCTACCTGCCTCACCCAGTGACCAGCTCCACCACACTGAGGCTCTGTATGGAGGTTGAGGACACCTCATTTTGCCTGTTGATAAATACCCCTATAGTTGACCATGACAGCAACCATAGATGAAGAGCTACTTAATTCCAACCTTTCATATTGACAAAGTATATTAATTTACCTATCAATTTCCCTCCAATCAAAATTACCTATCAAAATCTCTCCAATTAGAAGATTTTCTATTTCCTATTTAGTAGTTAATTGCTGTGCTTTTCGACTTCAGGTACCACACTGGTTCTGTGTCTTTCTCTATCCCAATCTGTTACCCTTAAAGATGAAACCCAAAAATTTACTTTTCCCAGATCACCCAAATATATCAAACACAAAATACCAAACTTGGCAAGAAATTAAAAGCACAGCTTTAGCATGATTCATGTCATAAAGGAGGAGAAATTCAACATTTGTTGTTCCCACATTGAATACTTGTCCAGCAGGAAAGCTCAAACCGTTGCACCAGGAACCTTGAGGCCCACCCACAGTACTGGTCTGAGACAGAGAAGGGTCTACTCACACCAGCAGGAAAAATATACGAGAACTTTAGTGAGCGTTCAAAAGGTCTGTAGTGGGACAGAAGTCTTGACTACTGGTTTATCAATGTAAAGATGGTGAATTATCTAACACTTAGGTATGCCTATGTAATAACCCTTCTAAAACAGCCCCTTCTCCGTTTTAACACAGGATCTATGAACATACCCGTGATCTCACGCTTTTCCTCTTCAATGATGCACTGCTTGTTTCTAGTCGGGGCACATCTCATACTCCATTTCAAAGGACTTCAAAATCAACCTATGTGTTCATTGCATCAGTGGCCCTTCATAGGTTACTTGTAGAAGATATTCCAGATTCCAAATGTACGTATTCATTTCCTTCCTAGAGTTAAATATCTTTAGAAAGCTCTATTATATAAAGCTCATTAACTAGTAAAATAGTAGAGTAAGAAAAGGACTGGAATTATAATTTGCCAATTTGCAAATAATTTCCCAAAGATCTTTAGGATTTCATTAATGTAAACTTTCATCTACCTAAAGCAGCAGAAGAGAGGAATTCTGGCATGGTCAGACATATACCCTAGACATTAGAATAGCTTTCAAAAACCACAAAGGGAGGCATGACTCCACACCACTGCGAGTTCCCTGAAGCAGTCTGACAGTACAGCTGGAGCCTTTAACCACTACTCTCTATACTGCCTGTAGATGCTACAATCTTAGATTTTTTATCCACTACTTTTCCATTATACTAGGACTCATTATTACAGATTCGACTGTACCTTTCCATTTTTCATATTTGAGAGGATGAACAGATTTGCAAAGACTGTTTAGTAAAAAACATTTCATTCATAACTTCAACAGAAGTATCATTTATTACAAAAACAAATCCTTAAAACTACTGTGCCTGTTTTTAGTTAGTCTCCTACACTCTACCTCCCCTGCCTGTAAGATCCCTGTCTCTTCCCTGTATTTCCATTGGGCCAGACAATCTGCATGCGACACCTCTCATTCCAACATTTTTCACTGCATGTAAAGGCAGGACTTAAGGTAAAACTGGAACAAAGATCTCAGAGAAGGAACTAATCTAAGAAGGGATGTTTCCCACTGGCTTCAATCCCATTTTAAATCTGAGCCTAAGAAAAATGAACAACTGTGGAATAAGTATTTCCACCTAGAAAGCAAACTCAGGTAAAATAGGTTACCTGTAACCTCTGGCTATACTTACCCTACGTTAAAACATCATTCTGTAACCTAATAGATAGTGAGCATTCACTAAGCAGGTGGCTTAACTCTGTCATTGGCTCTCATAGTAAGGTTGTTTAGGTTTACCTCTCAGCATCTCTATTTAAAGTCACTCTTAGACCTGTAATGCTTCTAGTTCCTTCTGGAATGGCTGAGACAAAGAAATAATATTATATCATTGATCATTGAGTCTTTAAAAATAATTGCTAATTACAATTAAACAAAGACAAGATTATATTTGAATTACTCAGTAGTTTAAGGAAGTTATATTCTAAATTGAATTTGGATTTGTTTGAATCCCTCTTAGTTTTCAAAAAACTCTTACAGATGACTTGGTCAGTACTTGAATTTCAAAATACTTTCTCCATTTCTTCTGATTGCTACCTGCAAAGATTAATTAACGTACCTCAAATATTTTCACAGATATCAAGAATGCATTTATTCTTCGAGGTCCAAAATGTGAATGGATTTGTGCTACAGAGGTTGAGGATGAAAAGTTCCTGTGGTTGTCAGCACTCCAAAACACAATCAGAAGTAGTACGGGGCAGTGAGACTGGGCTTGAGGAAGGTTATCAGGGCTGCCCATTCTCCCCAGCAAAGACAGACAGTGTGAACTTACTGTTCCAGAAGACCCAGTAAGAAACAGAACGATTGTGTCATGGATGCTGGGAAGATGAACTAGGGTGACCCATAACGGTTCTTCCTAACGTAAACTTTAACATCTATACTTAATCATATGAAATGTACAAGAAGAACAATTGGAGTCCAAAATTTTAAAATACTTCTTTTGGTAGTTATTTTTCATGGACAGTGTAATTTAGAGTAATCTGACTGATAAAACCTAAGCAAAACAAAGACTGTGTATTCAAAGTTTTGTTTTATGATCAAAAATAAAATCAGAATGAAAGGTATTTCTTCAATGATCAGTCTAGAGAAATATTTTAATTTGTTGTGATTTACCAATCATCTTTAACATTTTCATGAAATAATTACTGATTTAAAAATATGTATAAGAAACATAAGTGGCAATTTACTCAAAAACTTGTCACATATATCCTCAATAGGAATGTAATACTCCAGAGAGCATTAAAAATATACCACTACAGAGACTAAAAAATTTTCTGTAACTTTTAAGTGTTCTTTTGTTGCAAAATTTAATTCTTAGACTTTCCAAATAAGAAGGTTTACAAATTTGTGACACTGTAAAATTAGAAGGCTGTTTGGGGGAAAAACACTTCTGTAATACAAAAATGGAAGCCTGGCAAAACTTGCCTGTAATGGAATTTAGCTGAATAAAAATGAAGAAATTGGGACAATTTTAAGAAATACAGCAAAATAAGTGTTAAGTAGTTTTCTGGACCTTTAAAGCCTTCATTTAATTATTTAACAAACTGAAGCCATCAGCTACTAGCCACTTGGAAACTGATGTATGCAGTAACATACTATTTTTGCTTGCTTAATGGTAAATATCAGCCTTGAAAACCTTCCATTGCCAGTTTCTTTTCTTCCTATTATTCTTTGGTAAGGAAATCTACTAGTACCATCTAGGATTGTGAAGTGGGCTCTGTTAAACATTTTGTTTTTTCAACAAGGAAAATATAAATTCCTTCTACTTAAAAATTTAAATTCTTGTTAAAAAATATACAAAAGTTAAAATATTTGTGCTGTTTTATTAGTGTAAATGCACACTTCTGATTCTGTTATGATATATCCATGCAGTTTAACATCCATGATCCCATAGACAGAATAAATGATTAAAAGAAATATCTGCTGTTAGTCAGCAATGAAGGCAAATTCACAAATGTGATAAAAATGTATATATCATATGATATAAAACAAATCCTAAGACAATATATCACCTTGAAGAGGGTGCACGACAGAACCTCTGTTAACTGGAAAACCTGTCTATGTGGCAAAGGAACGAGTGACAAGGCCACTAAAGGTAAACCAGAAATCTTAAAAAATTTCCATTTATTCTCTGAATAATTAACATCCTTATAAGTTTTAAATCATATACTTTAAAATTATTTCTGAAGAGACTGATGAGCATAAACTGAGTTAAGTGCATAAATCATACAAAAATGGTGCTGTTTGCAAGTGAATGGTACTTATGCTGTTTGTGATTTCAACACTTTCCCTTCACTTCTAGGGAACAATTAAGAAAGGCCTGTCTTCATAGCTATTTCATAAGTTTACATGACTGCTGAAGTAAAATCTCATACAAAACATTTTAATTCACTGATAAAATGGCTAAAATTTTCACAAGGAAAACAGAAAATCTGACTCCCCAAGCTGACATGGCAAAGTCTGGAAGAACTGCACAAATCCTCAAGAACTCTGGACTGCTGCAGAGTGTATGGTTAAAGAAAGCCTTGCCCAACATAGTTCTTCAAATAAAAAAATGGGAAATTCATTGTAAAGGTTTTTACAAAACAAATATAGATACTGTATGTAAAATATAAAATCTAAAAGACAAACTGACAATTTGATTTTGTCTACTTTTGCAAATATTTCTGAGTGTGCTTGAGATGTAACTGAGAAGCCCATTCTACAAATCAAATCAGTGTGAGGTTTTGGCCATGTAAGTATAATGGACCAATGTTATGTATTCCTGGTGCTATGGAGTTAACAAGGGTGGCCTGTGCCAACAAACACAATATACCCTCCAGAAAAAGTCATCCTGACCCTTTTATTGTTGAAATTAAAAAATAAAAGACACTTAAATACAATGGTGAACATATAGGGCAAAACAGAATCATAAAATTTAATGTTGAATTAAGCAGTGAGCTGAATGTTTGGGTCTCCAAATTGGCTTGAACCCAGAACCGCCTAAAAATGGGTATGTTCACAGTTAACGGCAATTGGCTTTATAGGTGAGAGAATGGTCGGAGTTGTTCCAGTTGAACTTCCAGGGAAATTCTCTCCTCAAGAACATCCTAAAAAAGATGGAAAGCCAAGTTATATTTTAAAGTATATAAAAAGGAAGCCACATCTAACAAACAGCTCTGTATCAAGACAACAATGTAAATTTGTGAAGAGAAGGAAGGGACAGCTATTCATATTTTAAAAGAATACTTCACTTTAGAAGTGTAGTTTCTTTATATATCTAATATTAAAATATATTAGAATTTGATCTTAACTAAAATATTTTCTTTTTATTACATAAATAAGGGGTAATACAATATTTTTGAGTTATTAGAAAAGCCAATAGTTGCAAATGATGACTATTAATGCAAAAGTTTTGCAGATGCCTACCTACTGCAGTAACTGGAGATTAAGTCAGTTAATATAGATTCTTTTCCCTGGTAATTAGATCTGGTCCCAGCAACTCTTCAACCCCATTTTAAGTTTTAGTTTCACAAGGAGTACATTTATTTTGCAATTAGAATTTCTAACCATTGTTGATGTTGAGTAGTCTTTTCAGATAGCCAGCAAATTTTAAATTATCTACTTTCTTATCTTCTTTTTCTCCATTATACTGATAGCATCATGTTTTAACCAAAACTACCTGTTCCTGTTTAGGACTATACCTCCTATTTCCTGTTCTGAGAAATAAAGAGAAACATGATTTTTAAAGTAGCCCCTATATACTATTCTATGGTTTTTCTTAGTTCTTCAGAAAAATACGCATTAACGAAATTTTCATCTTCAATGTAGGGTATTAGCAAGCTTGTCCTTACTTTTCCATTCTTCCTTTTCAGTGGGCTAAATTCTTAATCATAGAACAACTATGAATATCTTCTCTGATCAAAGGGTTACACAAGCATATGGTTCATTCAATAGACATTTGTCAAATGCCTAAATGCTAGGTTTTGGGGACAGAGACAAGATCATTACAAGTTTACCTCGGACAGTCTCAGTTTACCTCTGATGTCCTAGCCTAAATAATAACACATCCCTCCTTCTTTTCTCTCACAAGTATTTTGTTCTGGACAATATATGGTCATCCTAAACAGAAGTGACAGGAATGATCAGGATTTACCCTCAGTGAGTTTAGTTTAGTAGGACAGAGAAACAAATGTGCCACAGATAATTCCTGGACAGTGTGACAGATGCTAGATGAGGGAAATGAACAGAATGTTATGGGAATGAACTAATTATTTATTTTACATTTCCATGGCCTCTCTTCTCATCTTTGTGGTTTACAACTTTGCTACACAAAGTGAGGCCAACAGTCCAGCAGCATCTCCATCACCAGGAAGCTTATTAGAAATGCAGAATTCTTGGTCCCACTCCATTCCTAACATGAATTGGAATTTACACTTTAATGTGACCCCAGATTAACTGTATACACATGAAGGTTTGAGAACCAATGGTTTATAAGATATGAATGCTTACTAATGTTGGTGAATCATAAATGATTCTGGCTGTTCATATTCATTCGCAGGGATTCAAAGAAATCATGGTCAGTAGTAAGAAAGAAACAAGAAACCCATTCCTCTCAAGTATAGATGACAGAAGTACACACTGGCCATAAGCACCATTTCTATTTAAAGGCTTGTTTTTTCTTTTCCACATGCAAGATGATCTAAATTGCTCCCAATCTCTCTTCTTTAGACCTGTTTAAGTCCCTGTAATAGAATATGAGTTATCTTTGATAAAATAACAATATTCAAATCACTTTACAATTAAATAAGAGTGTACAGAGCCATGTATGTGATCTTGGAGGTACCAGAGGTCATAACCTTTCCTCTCTTAGGTTTCACTATGGAAGTTAAGGAACATTATAGAAATGATGATACCTTATATATGTAGGATAAGGCAATCATACCAGAATAGAATATAAAATTTCTTCTCTATGTAAAATTTCCTTTAATATTAATACCAAAGGTTTATAGAACACTTAGATACATATTTCTCTTGCTACATGGAAAGTTTCATACTAGCATAGGAATTCCCGGATCACTTGTAAATTTCAGTTCAACTCTTGAGATGCTCTGAGTCCATGGAGCTTTCCAAGTAAAGATTCAGAATACCTTTAATTGTTGCTGCAATTCACTATTCAATCTGGCCAAAACTGTGTTGGTTTCTTTATTGCGTCTAATTGATGCCTGAATAGCTTTCTTATCTTTCCCAACAGACCTGAGAAGATAAAAAGGACAAAAAACCATAACCTTAATTTCTCATCTTTAGATTCTCTCCATTCTTCCCTCATCTACCTCTAAGCCCAGAAAGTCAAGGGAGCATCTTTGTCTTATTAGCATAGCTCAGCCTCACTTGCTCAGTTTCAATGGTTAACCAGAAGTATGTGAGCTTCAGAAGCTTAAGTATTACTGTTATTGTCTTAACTATTCTTCTGTAGAATCACCTGAGTTTAAGTTAGTCTAGAACAAGCATTCTATAAATGGCCAGATAGTAAATATTTTAGGCTTTGTGGCCGTATGTTTTCTGCAACATATTGTTCTTTGTTTCTTTTCTCTTCTTTTTCTTTTTTCTCCCTTTTACAAAAATATAAAAGCCATTCTTAGCTTATGGATCACACAGAAACAGGCCATGGGATGATTTTTTAGCTCATAAACCCTAGTCTGCCAATTCATGGTCTAGAACAACCATAATTAAAATATCACTGTTATTCTATACCAATTAATTTTTTAAAAATCTCTTTCAGGGCTTGCAATAGGGTGTTAAAATAAAATTGAACTTAATAGAAGAGAAAAAAGTGGGAATAATATTCTGTCTATTCATAAATGAGAAACTCTCCAAGAGGAACAGTTAAGAACCTGTGTTCAACTAAAGAACTAATCTGACCACAATTTCTTTCAGTTTGATATTTTTAATTGTCATCCTTTTGGTTCCAAGTAATTAAGGGTGTTTAGAAAAACTTGATTACCTAGGAATAGAAGGTTGTGGTGCAAGAACAGCAGCTAAGACACCTGTCTTTTGTGTGTGTTCATCAACTTCTGGCCTTAACTCATCTTCTGATTTTAATCTTCTTCGAACAGGTTTAGGTGGTGGAGCAAGAGGTGTTGTACCCTTGCTCTAGAAGACAAGAATTCCATTAATAATGAGTATTTCTTGAAGACATTTAGAGTTGGTACTTTGCCAATATCATGTGCTTTAAGCTTCTTATGCTCCAAAAATTAATAGTCACCTGTCCAACTTTAGAACGATTCATACATTTGCAGCGACAAGGAAAAGGAATACCTAGTTGACATCACAATTCAAACTGTATCTATTAGACAACTTTTTTAAAAAGGGTAACATAAGCTCCTGTAGGCCTGAATCTGACTCAAGACTAATATTCAGTTTTAACATAAGCATGATACATATTGCTTAATATATACCTATTTAATAAATATAAAAGGAAGTCTCCATTATGACTATTTCCTACTCAAAAATACTAAGACATACCATCTTAATGAGTAAAGCAATTCATATATAAGTGGAAAGCTAGGCAATTCCTGAACTATCACTAAGATGCACAGTAATTGTAACCCTTGAAAATGAGTGGATATTTTGTTGGAAACTGAGAATCTGTCCTCAACAGAATCAAATATGGTATTTTGATATTTGCCATAATCTGATTTGACCTGCTAATAAATAAAAATAAGAGTTAACTGACATTTCTTTGGTTAAGTACAATTTTTAATTTGTAGCTGTGGGTGACAAAATAAAATTCACTATTAAAAATCACAGACTACTTAATATAGTAAAAGGAAAGTGTCCAGCAAGTAGAATTTAAGCATTTTCTTCAGCAATATATGTTTTAGTAATTATTGGGAATATCTGGATAATAAACAGAAAAAAAACCCAATTTTTTTTAATTACTTAAATTTTTCTCTCAAGAGAAGTATACTCTTATCTGTAATTTACTTTGAAACACAAAAAACAGGTAAGAAGGATATAGATAGAAAAACCAAAGCAGCATAGTAAAATATCAATGGTACAATCAAGGTGTAGGTTTATTGATATACAATGTAAAACTCAATTTTTCTGTATGTTTAAGAATTTTTATAATAAAATGTTGGGAAAAAATGATCTCTAAAACAGTGAAAGAAAAAGTGCACAGAGTATAACATTAACTTTAGACAAATGATACTTTTTCCCTATTATATTTAAGACTGTAGTAAAAGAAACTGAATTTGACCAATATTTGGAATACAATAACTACATAAACTGTGAGAACCCATGGCAAGCACTAATATAAATGATAGGCTCTCATCTCTTAGAATTTTTAAATAGATCTTGTTCTGAGACAGACCACATGTATTACAGTTAAAGGCAGTGGGATGGGTTAGATGACCTCTAGCTAACTGTATTCCTAAAAATTTTGTCATTTTTAAAAATCTTATGATATATTAGTGATTTCATATAGCATTTTATATGTAAAAATGAATACTTTTATGAAAGTCTTCGCATACCACATTGGTGGGAGCACAGGCAACTGTCTTCTCTTCTATTTTACTATCTGTTTTGGCAACTCGAAGAGAACTTGCAGGATCAGAAGCTTTTTCAACCTAGAGATGAACATACTATCATTACTAATTATATAATTACAATTACACATAAATATGTATGTAACAAATCAGAGAGTTAAGAAAATATTCATTCTGACAGTAAGGAATCTGAGTCTCTGAGGGAGCAGGGACACCACTTGGGGAAGCCCTTGTGGGTGGAAGTAGGGAGCGTGCACCTACCCCAGGGGCCTGGGTACCAGCACCCTGTGCATACCTGCACCTCAGGCCCACCTCCTGCCTTCCTGAAGGGACAGCCCATCCCCTTACTAGCCCCAGGGCTAGGCAGAAAGTCACACATTCAAAGAAGTGGCTAATAGAAAATTTCCCATGGATCAGGTCTGTAAGAAATCTTTAGCTAAATTATGCCAATCAAATAAAAATGGATTTATGGATCTGTCAGAGGCTCAATATGGGTTGAAACAATCAGAGAATTTTAGAATTGCTCTGGTCCCTCAATCCCCACATTTATGTTTAGTGAGGTCAGGGGTCCCTAGAGAAGTTCTTGCCACTAGAAATAAATAGTCTCTTGGAACACTGTCTACAAAGATTAAATTTTGGCATCCTGTAGCCTGTAAGTCTAACTAAAGTGACTTAGTCTCATACAAACTGAGTGTAGCTATAGTAACCACAGCCTCTTATGACATGGAAATCTTCACCAAATCACAATCAGATGCTTAGCAGTAAAATGCACCCTCCTGCCAGGGTTTCAGCCAGGACCAGACAGTTGTGCTAGTGTCTTTTCACATGACAGCTAACCCCCACCCAGATTATGATTCTTAGTAAGCATTATTCTGCAACCAGCAGGTGTCTAAGGCCAATATAAAAACTGAGAAGCACAGACCCAGAGAACAAATTCTCTAAAAGCAGCAGCAGCAGATATTACTCACAGATGTCCCCTTTAATATCTCATTTTTGGGGCGTTTCTGTGTTTACAGACAGGCTTATGAGTATGATGTGGCAGAAGATCCCCAGCAAATGACATAAGCCCTTGAAAACTGACCGGCAAGACCTCAAGATGTTTCTCAGCTTCATCATCTTGTTCTTCATTTACATTTGATGCAGCAAATACTTCAAATTGGCTGAAATCTGCAAAATTCGGTTGTTCTGGTATCTGCTGAGGTGAGGTACTGGTGTGAGTTATTAGGCCATCAGCATCCACTGGGCGATGCACAGCGGGACCAGGGGCCTATACAATGGTTTAAAAAAGGAACAAACATTTTTATTGTTGCATCATGTCACAGAGTAGGCTTACTTTTTTTGAAAATATAAAGATGCTGTTTTACTATCCTTAAATTCAAGGAGGTGAGCTAGTGACATTTAGCTCTAAAAAACTGTAAATGAAGTGCTGAGATACTCTAAAAATTTAGATGACAAGACAAATCTCCGATAAAAAAGATACTTTCACAAAATTCTTGTGAAGAGGGGAGGGTCTGGCTCTACTCTGATTCTCTACTTCATCTATTTTTTCTTAACTGGGTTACTGCATAATAATTGGTTAAAATCAATGCTCTAAGAATTCTCCCAACACTTTACTGTATTCCCTTCTATTTGTCCTCCACTCCTTTGCCAGACCAATCCTTCTAAAATCTTCAATCTAAAAACACATTTACTGAGTATCTACTTTCAGCCAAGTACTATGATTCTAATAGTGAACAAACAAATAAGTTCCTGCCCTACTAAAGCTCACAGTCTAGTACAGGATAAGAGATAAGTAAACAGGAAGTTAAAATACAGTACGAAACATTTTATGACAAAGTAGAGGATGCTATGGAAAAAATTTGAAGTCTTTTCCGTGCTTACGCTTTAAAAATTCTTACTGTTCAATAAGAATTATATTCTTCTTAGTATGATACATGAGATGCTCTGCCCCTTCCTCACCTCTTCAGTTTCATTTCCTACCACTACAGTTGTATTGAACTAACCTGCTTTTACCTGAGGAATATGCCAGGCTCACCTCACACCTCTATGGCTTGTGGATGCCATTCCTTCTTGTTGGAATTCCCTCTCACCAAGAAATACCATTTTATCTTTGAAATCTCTGCTTAAGTCTTACTTCCTTCATTTACTTACACCTTTGACCGGACTTTATTAGCTAGTGAAGCTGTGCCAAAGCACTTTATAAATATATCTGCTGCAGCCCTTCTATTATAATTGTTGTTTATAGGTCTGCCTTCCCCACTAAACAGGTTCTTGAGTCATGAGACCAATTTGTTGGGTTTCACACCTTAATCTAATTGAAGTATATTTGTTGGCACTGTAGATAAAATACTGAAATATTCAGATTTTAGTATCTTCCAATGATTAAGAAACTGTCTTTTTAAACACAAATAATCAGTTACATTATAAGAATATAAGAAAAATCAACCAAATTCAATCATGTAAAAGGTAGTCAGTCACATAAAACTATTAGCTATAATCCAAAATCTATCTTGGAATATAATAGTTTTAATGCAGATCAAAATGCCATCAACCTGGTAGGGATGCAAAGGCCATTTAACACTTTCTTTACAGATGGCTTTAGAGAGGCATTGAGGTCACTTGGAGTCACTGCTGGATCCAGGACATAAATGGCTATCTCCTAACTCCCAATCCATTACTCTTTCCAAGATATTATCTCTTGGTTCACTTTTAAGGTTCTTTCAAAAACTAATTCGAGTCATTATTGGAATTCTTATCTTCCAAAATAAGACTTAGCTTCCCAGAATTAAATGCTCCTTAAGAAGGACAGTTAGGTCCATTCCTGATCTTCATAATAATTCTAGGATAGAATCAAATACCTAATTGACAACTTGGTCATGGGGACAGTAAAAACATGGGGTGTTTAACAATGAATACATTGGAAAATTACCTGCGAAGGCTGTGGTCTTGGAGGCACTGCGGGAGGATGGGTAACAACTCCAGCCTGTTGTCCTGTGTAAATACACAAGACTTCTTTTTAGCAAATACATAATTATTTTGCCAGCAGAACAAACAGGCTGGAGGAATGTGATCAAATGATGATTTCTAAGAATGTTTGCTAAGTATTAGAAGGTACATACTCTCTTACGGAATTTTCTAGCTGTGAAATCTCAGCCTTTTCTCAGACCTCATTTCTCTTGTTCTATTGCACTCTCAACATGCTCTTCTCTTTGCATGATACTGTACATTCTTGGTTTTCCCACATTTCTGACTGTTCTTCAGCTATCAAATATGAAGACCTCTAAGTTTTCCCTTTTCAATTAATACTTCACTCTGTCATTTCTACGTAAATGATTCTCAAATAATGCATCAAATATTCTTAGCCCATAAGCCCAATGGCCTGTTATTTCCTTTTCCTCATCATTCCAAACTCATGTCCAGAAACAGAATATCACCCTCTGTCCTAACTTCTCTATTTCTGAACAACATAATAACCATATGACCAGTTATATAAAAATTGAAACCCTGGAGTAAGCTATGACTCTCTCTTTTGTAAAGCTAATTTAAGACTTACTGGCTTTCCTTTCCTGTTATCTCCATATCATTCTTTTAAAATTTCTTGTAGCATCTCTCAGCTTCCCACCTTTATCATTTGAACTCAAATATACTTTGGATAGTCCTTAAAAAAAATGTCCTCTCATCTGCTAACTTTTAAATTCAATTAATTTCTTAAGATGAACAGCAAAAAATAAGATATATTAAGAGAAAATTAAACAAAATGTTGTGTCTTTCACTTTACAATCAAATGATAATAAATACTGTGGGGTTCTCTAACCCTACCTGTGGTAACTGTAAAGGTCCGATTCATATCTAAAGACGATGATCTAGAATGAGAGGGCTGTGGCCTTGGTGGGGGAGGTGGTGGTGCAGTGTTATCAGGTGATGCTCCTGAATGAGACCTGCAAAATTCACCCTGTTATAGATGGTTGTACTATTGATATTGGAGCCTTTTACTTTTTAAGCATTCAAAGTTGGTTAAGCAGCAAAGGATCTTATTGGTGTGACATTTCCCAAGTGTTGTACTATTGATATTGGAGCCTTTTACTTTTTAAGCATTCAAAGTTGGTTAAGCAGCAAAGGATCTTATTGGTGTGACATTTTCTCAAGTAGGTACACCAGTAATACAATAAATAAATATAGTAATGTTTATGATATGCACAAAACAAGTGGTTAATGTGGCAAATAATTGTTTTTATAAAGCATAATTATACATTTTAAAAAATTTCAACAAACGTGAAAACAAAGTAATTAATATGAATTCAAGTAGACTGCAAACCTAATGTAGTTTTTCCCATTCATTATAAAATTAATCTGAAAAACAATTTTCAAAAAAGAGAAACTCTACTTTCAGATATGGGTAACTTTTTTTTTTGGTTTCACATATTTTTACTTACTTACTTACTCACTTATTTATTTATTTATTTTTATTTTTTGAAGAACATTATGTTTACTAGGCTCTCCCCTACCCCAAGT